ACAATGTGTGGGGTATCAATCCCAATATAGATCTATATACAACCATCACGCTCTACCAACAAGAGACTCTGGTTATAACTGTCACGAATTTTAACCCGGACTCTAAGATTACAATGAAGTAATTTCTCACAATTTATGTTAACAAGTTTACGTGTAGTACAATTAAAAACCCTTTTCTGTGGTGGATGTGAATTCCCTTTTGGGTAGTAGGTTTGTAATGTAAAAATCCATAAACTATTCCTATTATAGTTTATCGCACGTGTTTGAAGTATATGGAAAACCCTTATCATGAATGTCTAATTTCTGTTTACGATGTTAAACTAACAAGAAACATATTCTACATATAGAAACTTATTATTATACACTTTTCTCAACGTGCTACAAAGTGTTATTAGTATTGAAATTTGTTTAGCTAGTTTTCGACTTTTTTGCACTGTTTTAGAAATATCAAAGAAAAATCGTATGAAGCCGAAAACTAAATCCGTGAACTCTAAGAGTTTAGAAAATATGCCTAGTTTGTTCATAATTTTTATCATGATTTTTAGGGACATTTAACATGTGTGAAAATGCTCAACTTCATAGACTGGTCCGAAGTTGTCGCTAAAATGATAGACAGTTTTGTAAAAATCACCATAAATTGTAGAAAAATCGTGTTGACTTGTGCAAGTAATCATTAGAAAGGTATAAACCTGCACTATTTGCACCTTGTACAGTTTTGAAAACTAAAAAGTTTAAGATGTTCAAAATTGTCCTTGAATGGAACTAAACTTTTCGAATGAAAGCTGATGTTTGAGTTTAGTTAAGTCTTTTGATGTATTAACTTGTATTCCCCCCCCCCCCCTAAAACTTGAAGAAAACGTAAAAATGTTGGGGGTATGAACTCACCTTGTGTGATTTCTTTGAGATGAACGACGAAGGAGATGAAGTTCCAAGTCCAGAATTGTCACACCCCAAAACCGGAACGGCGGAAACGTTCTGGGGTGGATGACTTCATGTCAAGTATCACAACATATGTAGTATAGTAATCAAAGTACAACTACCATTCCATTAATAGTAATAGTTTTACATAAGTTACATTGCATAGAGACATTAAAGTACTACAAGTAATAATATAGGTGCAGCTTGGTACTAGGCTGTCTCCACAAAAGCTCCTAGGATGTACCTGTCTAATGCTGA